TTTGATTGTGTGTGTGTGTGTTTGTTTGTTTGTTTGTTTGTTTGTTTGCTTTTTGTTTTTGTTTTTAGACTGACTCTAGACCAACTAGTAGGTTCAATCTTCGACGTGAATGCGTTTACAGATTCCTTTCGTGCAGAACGGGAGCAGAGATCACACAGCAAAACACAAACGGAATACATTCAACCCTTTCACAGTTTGGAAAACTCACCCGCATGGAAGCAGGGAAGCACTGTTCCTGACCTGCGGCAGACAGCCAATCCTATGCTGCAGGTTTCGAGCCTGCTGCCCACAGAGCCATCTCCATGCCGACCTCTGGCAGGAGCGAAGAAGCCTGGACCAGTCATCGGCATCATCACAACTCAACTCCGCCAACATCATCCGGTGAACTGTCTGACATGACATGGGGCACACATGCACCTCAAGGCGTCAGCAATCCAATTTTTAAATCGCTCAGTACTTATCGAAGAGAGCTACGAGCGACTGAAACTCAAACGCTACAGAACACTGTCCTGCAGCGGCGAGGGGTCGACAACGAAGACCAGCAGCGACGGCGTCCAAAAGGTTACAAAGTCAATGCCTCGACCGGCTTGCAGGAGAGCGTGGGGCACTGTGTGCGGAATTGACCAACTTACTGTCACACACAATCACCGCTGAGCGGCGATAGCTTCGGCCAGACGTTCCAGAGCAAAAGTCGCATGACACATGATCTCTGTTTGCGTTCCACGTGCTGAGGCTGTGACCCTGTGTCGCAAAAACGACAACATGGAACAGGAAAGCGGCCACCACAAAGGTTCTGGCTGCTACCTCAGGGAAGCAATCCATGTTGACGAAAAGAAACTCCCTTCGGCTTTCGCCACCCTCCGAAACGATGTCGACGTTGATTCTACGGATATCGCCGGTCGATCTCACCTCAGTGTCCCTATCTTCCTGCACACTGGACCTCTGTCGAAATCCGTCGTTTTCTGTCGGTCCCCATGGCACATCTTGGGCCTGATGGAACAGCGCCGCTGGCGCCAGAAGCCTCAGTTTGCATCTGCAGCCGCGGCCATAGTAAAGCCTTCCACACATATTCCACAACGCGTTTTGCAACCGAGATGTGTCGATGCGAGCTTTGATGTGTTCCAACCCGGACTTGCCAGTCTTGCCGGATGACCTCAAAGTCGCCTGCTCACGAAACCCCCATCAGCGATGGACAGTTTTCTCTCAGTGACCACCATGCTTCCAACTGGTACGCTTTGCATAACGCGAAGCTCTGAGCCACTAAGCCCGAGACTCAAACAGGAGGCCCAGCGCAGAAGCCGCAACACAGAGCCAAGGGCGAGTGACCTTGGGAACTGGTGGGAGCATCTGCCAAACAGGGCAGGCGAGGCCAGGCAGGCGTGTTCCTTGCACAACCGACGTGCTCGCATGCTGCTGATGGCAAGTGCAAGCCGTCGTTGGACCTGTTCGAGGTTTCTTGATTTTCGGGGCATGGTGGTTCAGGCTGAGGGGCCATGAGGGGCCCCCACCCATGGTCCGTCCAAAGCCCCGCAGGAGAGATTTAGTGTTGGAGGATGGGTGTCGTTACCAGGGCTATCGTGTTCGTACTCCCAGCATCGAGGCCAAGGACATGGCGAAGAAGACCTGCAGCCTGTGCGCGCCCAGGTGGCTCTTCACGTTCCCGGGTCCTTGCTTCACTTTGCTTTGTGACTACAGCGATCCAGACGACAGTGCCAGGTCAACAAGACTAAAGCCTGCACATCAACCGCGAAGACATGCTGAACGAGCGCCCATCTCAATCGAAGCCCGTAACCCACCTCACCCCAAAGCCTGCAAAGCCACCTTGGACCTATACGAAACTCGGCATGAGCAGGCCCAGTAGAACCTAGCGGCGAGACCACATGGCATGGAAGAGATACGACTGCAGATTGGCGCCGTTGGCCCACCAGCGGCCCATCTTGAGAGAGGCGCCTTCAGCTGCTCAACTGACAGAGATTTGGTGGCTTTGGCCTACTACTACATCCTGGTGCGCATATTATAGACGCAGCAACAAATGTATCCATGGCGCAGCCGCTCCATCATCCTGCTTTGTTTCATTGCCGCTGATGCGATTCTTCTTATTTTCTGTTGCTGGTGCTGGTCGTCGCAGGGTTGTCGTTTCCTAAGTGTTCCACCCAGACACCTCAGATCACCTCAAGGAGCAACGCCTGCCGTTTACCGAGTGCCTCTTGAAAGATGCTGGCCCGGCTTTCCAACATAAGGCATGGCACCCAGCTTGCAAAGTCCGGCGGCAAAGTACAGGGACACGACATGCAGCTTCAGAAAAGTCAATGGGTAAAGGCTTCCTCAGATGCAAGTCAACAAGTCAAGGATACTCTGGTGACACACAGTCCGACGTGAGCATCCCCACCGAGCAATAACATTGATGTGCGATGTTGATAACACTTCTGGAAACTTACCCCGAGACCGCGCAAGCTGCAGTCCATCTCAGCCAGCTAGCTGGCTGAGCGTTGCCACAGTTGTGGTGCGGCAGCCAGGTATGCGAGGTTGTTGGGTAAAGGCAGGGAGCCATGCTGGCCGGCCTGTCAAAACAAGATGCTGGTACGTCGGCAAGTGTTCTTCTTGTCGCCCCGGGTGCTACAGAGGCCGCTTGAGGGTATCTGACCCAACATCACTAAAGAAAGATGCCAAGCACATTCTCGAATGGATAGTCGGAGCCAACCAGTTGAGGTCTTCAGCAGATCAAGACTATTATGCTTGAAGATTGGGCACATGCGATATGAACCTTCAGCTCCGTGCCTGCGATTCAGGAAAGATCTGGGTGAAGTACCTGCAGGGCCACAAAGCGCTCAAAATGCCTTGTTTCCTGGTGCAGTGTGCAACTTTGCATCCACAGACCATTACATTCACCGGCGGATCCAATTCTGTTCGATTCGATTCGACTAACCTCGTGTACTGGAGCAGCATGGAGCATCCAATCCAGTCCGTCTTTTGAAGCACCTTCAACCCCAGCGCTGAAGGACGACCTGCGCTAACCGTGTAGATACCTCTAGTTGTAGCTAACCATGATAGCATACACGCGGTTGGGACATCCAATGATCTTCTCAGTCCCAGGTGCAGAAAATAGGCGACGATTGCCGCACAACAATTAACGGCAGGAAGTGGGCTCAAGCCCACTGAGGCCAGCGAGGCGAAGAAGACCCAGCCAATTCGGCCTTGGCAGCCGTTTGCACATGCGGTCCCTTGCATCACGCGTGTATTTGTGCATGCCCTCCTTTGGATTTTTGAGTTTGTAGTGTGATGAGCGCAAGGGATGAAGAGTACAGCGCTGCTACAATCTTCCGTAAATCATGCAGTTTTCTGAAGGAGCAAGTCTTGACAAGTGCTGCCTTGAGGAGGTGGTGCAGCTCACTTGCCCAAGTGGCGCATCTCCATGACCTTGAGCTTCGGGATTGTCCAGGGCAGGCCATAGGGGGCGTGGCCGCGAGATCCCAATCCTTAGGACTTCAGGAAGATGCCTCTGTCAGTCTCCCCTTGGCCCATAGACTCCTCGCACTCATGGATAGGGCTGCCCTTCCGACTCGGCATGCCCACGGGCAGATGCTCGAACATGTGTCTGTCAGTGTCTGTGTCTTGAGGCCCATAAACCCCAAACCCCAATAAATTCACCGCCAAAGCTCCACGCTTCTTCGCCAAAGCGAGGCCCGAGCTGCGAAACCAGCCTCTGAGGGAGGCACAGGCGCCCGGGAATCTGAGTAGTCAATCTGACTTACACCGTACTGAAGTTTTCATAGTGAAAAAAAGAGTACTGTTGTAGTGGCCATAACAGCAGCAGCAAGAGAAGTAGCAGGAGCAGGAGTATGGAAAAAGGAGGAGGAGGAGGAGCTTTGTTGTGGTTGCTTTTACGCTCTCACGACTCGGACACGCCAGTGGTTGCTTTTACATGTGTGGATTCTCATGCTTATCATGGCATGAACAAGCTTAGCAGTATGTTGGCAACCATTCGGGCTATAAATCCTGCAGTAGACAAAAAAACCATGCATGTAACCCTTTTGAAGCCCGCGAGCGTCCCTTTCCCTACTCAGCCCCTCTTCGGCTACCGGGGTGCAATAGAACATCAGATGGTTGACATCGCTCACCTGCCAAGGAGAGGACAACACATTCTGGAGCCAGGGCAAAGTATTTGTGCCTTGAAGTTCACCGCAACGGTCATGGCCCAAAGGATTGCAAAGCGTGTCGTCTGATTGAAATCCTGGGCGCTGGACTGGTCATCCGAAGTTGTTATCGCCGTTGGGCAAACAAATCGCAAGAGCTTGACTTTGCTTGCCGGCTGCATTCTCGAGCAACAAAATCCACAAGCAGCACAAGCATCTTACCATGTTACGCATGTGGATCTGGATTCTTTACCCTTCTTCGTTGCCAGTTCACCGTTGCTAGGCATGTTCGTAGCGTCAGTTCGTCAACACGCTGAGTTTGCAAGCTGCCAACTGCCTTGAGGCATCACGGCATAAGCAACTCAACTCTGAAGATTCAGCTGTGGCCGACTGGCCATCACACCGCCCTTTACGTCTCGTTCCCCATAACTAACAGGACATCCAAATAAAGCCGCGATTTGTCTCAGTAAACCTTGAAAGCCGTCACCCAATCCGCAATCTATCTTGAAATCCCTCGCTCTCCGCTGCAGCACACCACTGTCGAAGCAAATCAATTAAGCTGCAGCTCGGTGAGGTATGTCTCCGGCTGCTCCGCAAGAACCAGGGCAGTAAGAAAAGGAATGAGTGACAGCCACGCCTCACACATCCACGAGGGTCGTGGGTGCCCATCCCGAGCCATCTGACTCTGCATGACTCTGCACTTTGAACTCATGGAACTGGATAAACATTGAATTCAGGCCATGGACATGTCCTTCGAGCCGGCTGAGGAGACCCAGCCTCTGCAACATCCCAGTAAGGATTGATGAAGAGATAAGGATCATCGCCTGAGGCTAAAGCAAGCAGATCTGTCGATCGCGGCATGCAAGACTGTGGTGGGGAGTCGTGGCTTGAGCGTCTGCATGCAGCATGGCCTTGGTGGCATGACCTAGAATTTCCCTGCGCCCTAAAACAAACACAGCTACAGCACAAATTTCCGGACTCATCCGGACCATGGTGCCGAGTCGGGAGATGACGTTCAGCCTCAGCTGGAGCCTCAGTTGCTAGGTTCCTCTCCTTTGGGTTGAGCCAGGCTTTCACAGCACTGGAAGCACCAAGCTTCTGAGACTTCTTTGCACTCTCCACCAAAACACTACTCGTGACTTCGAGGTGCAGGAGCAGTGTGAAGCCTGCGCAAACCGCCAGGAGCCTCCAATCTTGTGTCAGCCACCTGAGCTGGTTCGAGAGACTGTGTCCACTTGTAAACAGACATGACTGCGCTTTGCGGACATGAGTGACTGCGCTTTGCGGACATGAGGCCACCCAATGCATCCAATAGCAGAGGCGTTGACCGGTATCATCCACACAGGCAAGCTCTGCAGGAACATCCACTCATCGCCTCAGACAACACATGGCTGCGACACGCAACAGTCGCCGCCCGGTCTCTCCCAAAAGCTGTTAAACACTGTCGGCAGTTTGGTCCAGGCCTTCCTCGATCTTCGCCAGGCCGGAAGGGCCCACCACCATGGTCGCCACAGTGTCGCCAGGAACGTGGCCCGGCACAGTGCGCTCTACACGCACAACCGGTAGGCCGGGCTGGAGTTGCTTTGAAGAAACGCAAGTCTCCAGTTGGACGTGCAGTGTCCTACAACTCGGGGTGGGCAGTCGAATTTTCGTATTACATGAGATTACATGGGAAGAGAAAGTTGCGCGGCCGTCTTGAGCCTGTCGTAAGCGGTAGGCAAGCAACAAATGGGCCACCCGAAGCCGTCATGCCTTGTGCAAGCTTGGCGCAGCTTCACAAACACCGGAGGATGCATTCCGAGCGTGCTAGCAAACGCCTGGAAGAGCCATGCAGTACTTCGGGACGCCATGGTGGTATTGCGTGGTATTTGTGATGTCAGCCTCTTCTTGTTCACGAGCCCTGCGCTTGTCCGGCTGCAAGCCCACGCAAGAAGCCGGAGGCACCTCCTATCGCCAAGTTTGCATGAAATGTAGGGCGCGTACCTTGGCATTGCAATCGGGAGCTCGTTGTGAAAAAACTTCTCTGCAGGACTGGCTTTGTAAAAAAGGATGCCTTGCTGCCGGCTGGACGGATTCAGTAGCGTATGAAGTGCGGCAAGAGCCACATAAGGTAAACGGCTGACTCGCACACATCGAAGTTGTTGTACGTGCATTTGCCATTGCTGAGTTCCTCCTACCAGCGACATCAATGAAAGCTTTCTGCATGATTCGCACCCTCTCTGCGGCCCTGTTGCCATCCGATGGCTGGTACTCATATTGCGAGGGCCGCCGCCGCGAATAGGTCTTCGCTAACTGCGGACTTTCCGTGGCATATGGGGCCTGGCGAAGATCAGAATCTAGCTTGGCCTGGACGGATCCTGAACAGCATTCCAGGCCTGAAGACCAGACCGGTCAGGCGACGTGGGCGCTGTGGAAACGCGGGAATCGATGCTACCTGGACTCAGGTGCTTTGATGTCGCCAGTTGGCTGAAACAGCTCGGGTGGGGCAAGGACGGCAAGGAGATATAGGGTCTACGGCCTACGGCGAGCTGGTTTTGCACACGGCCTTCTCATTGCGCCCAGCATAAACAACATCATCCGCATGTGCAGGGTTGTACCATCTTAGGCTTAGTATGTTGAATGTACATACATACACACGTATGCTCTGTCGGTCTGCCTGTCTGCCTATCTGCCTGCATGCCTGCCTGCCTGGCTGTCTTTCTTTCGTCTGGGCCGGAGTGGGGAATTGCCTCTTTGCTGTCTGTCCCTCTGTGCTTGCTCGAGGTTTCAGTTGGGGATATATGTGTGTATAATTGTGTATGTATGTGTGTATATATATATATGCACACGTGCGTGTGTGCATGTATGTTTCTGTATATATGTATGGTACCAAAGCCACGCCCAAGCTGATCAGGTATTAGCTCCACCGTAAGGACCAAAAAGCGATGTTCCCTCTTCTGTCCCAAAACCCACTGCCCTTCTTTGCGACATTCATGTGATCTTCCGAACACATTTTCAATTCCAACAATTGCAAGAGCTGAGACAATCCTAGGGCATTCGAACAAAAAACCGAGTACTACAAACTGTCAGAAAGAGTTCGACCCTATGTTTAAGATTGCCGTGTGTGCTAGGTTCTGACAAGTGGAAATTTACACCTTGTTGTAGCAGAGTCTTATCCAGCTACTACTCAGTATAATTACCACTCAAACAATATTTACAATGTTTCCTGAGTTTAAACTAATTTTAGATAGAGCAATGAACGAGAGCCTACGGTATCCAAGCAATGCTCATAAACATCTCGTTGTCATCGCAAGTATTTATTTGTCACACTGTCAGTATGTGCTGTACGTAGTAGTTGCTTGCTTATTCCGGGCTAACGTATGAGCATGTATGAGAAGCATTCAGCCACTGTTTAGACATGGTATCTACGAACTATAGTGGAAAATATGTACGCCCGTCTTTAGACTTTAGACCTCGTATATGCTCGAGAAGTGTTCAACTTCAATAACGATAGAAACTAACGTGCTATTTCTTGTCGACCAGATATTGCTGACGTAACACTTACAGAATTTGAAGCACTCCTTCAGTAAAAGTTACTCTACGCTTGTTCACATGATTCAATATTGATGACTATTCGTAGTAAAAAACCGAAAAAATGATACCCGAATAAACAAATATCTAGGAGGTAGTGGCTAAGCCTTAGCTGAATTTTTGAGAAGACCAGTGTTGTCTTGATTGGCTTGAGCAAGAGACAACAATAACGCCGAAAAGCAACAACGTATTCCATACTGACACATTCACAACATTTGATATGCATATGCAACCGAAAGCTCCAGGAGCCCTTCCTGCACATTGGGCTAAACATCACAGAAAACAACCAAGTAGTCACAACAAAAATAAACTAGAAGGTTGAACAGTGCGTAGATACGGTGTAGATATTGCCCGGTCAGCAATTTTAAACCAAGACCAGAGTCTCGCGTTATTGCATATTTGGAGATCACAATACCACCTTTGCTGAAGTAGTGACAAAACTTCCATCGAACTGACCTGTTCCGTACACGGGTCTACAGTACCTGTGATGATACAAGTGGTGCTGACGGACTTTATAGGGAACTTCGGATTATAAAAACTATACGTACTACATATTATGACAACGGTCTTGGCGAGAAAACCTGCATTTCGTCCATGAACTGCGCTTTGACATTGGACCAACACTTTGGCGATGTGACAGGAATGGAGGAGGGGAAGAAACACCGATACTGTGGACATTCATCCTAAAATCATGGATTTTGTGGGCTTTGGAGTGGGGCAGCACATGTGTGTATATAATATATACTGTATGTGTATATATATATATACATATATATACAATTCATATAAGTGCTACATAAGTGCTATATAAGGAGGGCCAGGCCTCTCGCACTGAGCATTCCTGGTTGCACTCGCGGCCTTGGGCATCGACTGGCACGCAAAAAACGTTTTGGGAGTGTAGTGAACAGCGGATTAAGCCTGACGATCATGTGTATGCACATGCACCATTTGGCATCGACCTGCATGGATGGGATTACTGATCATCGCTCACAAGGCCCACTTCCGTATATGCAAAACAAGGGGGTCTACGAGGTCCCATAGCTAGTGCTGGGCTCGTAGTTCATCGACTTTAATGCTATCCCCGAACAAGACTTTGCGATTTAAACGGAATAGAATGAATGGACGACGCGTCATAAGCGGTATGGCAAGCCCAAAATACATTCAGCCACGTGGCCCCGATGGCACCGGAGCAGGTAGGCGCGCTCGTTCCTCAAACGATTGGTAATGGCTGATTATGTATGAGCAGTGTACGAGCTGCCTCATGCCGAAGAAAGTTAACCAAAATGTCAGACGCAAAGGCCTCGAGTGCAGCCCGTGCCCGCTGCGCCGTCTGGCGTATGTTGTTTGGGCAGGGTGTTGAGGCTCACAGGTTGAATGCCATGAGGGTGGCGCTCTTGCAGAAAAGTCATCGAAACCCTTTCCATCAAGATTTTGGATCGCGATTCGTGATCGCTGGATATCGCTGGGATCCAGATCATGAAGGCTACAGAAGAGCGGATCCTGAATCCTCAGAGAGGCGGCCTGGGCTGTTTGCGAGAGCCGCGTGCCCAGCTCGGGGCCTCACTCAGCGCAACCCTATCCGTAGTATGATGAATCGAAGCTTCGAACTAAGCTACACCTACACGAACCTTTACATAGCATGACGATGCCGAATCTGCGGCACATGCCGAAGTTCAGCCTCCACTGGTCAGTGTTCGATGGCTTCGGGGTTTGGCGGACGACCACCCAGCTCAACTAGAACTGCCTCTACATAAGGATGACAGGCTTAGGACATGCTCAACTCGAGGAGCCCTGACACACGAGACTGGCTCCTGCAGATTTCAAGCCCTTGCGCATGTACGTCGCCTAAGCCAAGGTGCTCTGCATCAGGTATTTTTGCAAAGTAGAAATACGCAGAACTGCATCGGGCTCCAGGCTTGGAGGTGCCTGCACCGACATCCTCGCACGGACGAAAAAGAGTCACTACTCCATGATTCTACCTGCCCGAGGACGGTAGCTTAGCTTAATGGGATTGCACAGTGTCCACGGACCAGCCTCTACAGCACTGGCTTTGAAGCTCACGAAACCCTCACCGCAAATTCTCAGAAAAAAAAAGGAAACACGCGGACTCGGTTGGACCTGCCGGGCTTGCGCACTGCTATCTGCTCTTTGGCCTGATCGGCAGGAAAGAGCCAGGGCAGCTGGAAGGTCCAGAAGACTTGGTGGACATGTCTATATGGGACCTGGCTTGTAGTAGGATGCACTTCTCCGTGTATATGTACATCTTTAGATGCATACATTATGATATTTGTATACCTATATACTCATACATATATATACATACATACATACATACATACATACATTTTTAGCACTCGCTCTCGACGCCATACATACATACATACATACATACACGTGCATGGTAGCTTCAACTTTGGTGAGTCAGCTACCCAGTAGCTGATGGTTCGTTTGTAGTTCCAGCAATGCTAACACTCTGTCCCGCGATCTGCCAAGGACTCAACTCTTTAAGCCAGGAATCTTCACGCTCCCGCAACTCGGACACTGCCAGGCGGGGATGCTTCAGGTGGGCATTTCACAAGGGGCAAAGCCAAGTGTGCATAACGACAAGCAAAGAGCCAACAGTCTTTCATTTCAAACACGGGCCAAACTCGAAGCCACGTACATGAACATGAACATCCTGAAAGACTCACGGCCGGAATTGGGACGCCTTCCAGCACTACTATGTAGGGCAGCGATTTCTTGCAAAATCTCCATCCGGATCCCTAACCCTAGAAAAATGTCCATCCTGGCCTCGTTACCGTGAAAGAACCGCCAGGCGGCGGTGGCCCGTGCAGCCGCCGCCGCTGCACTCGTCATGGCCGCGTCGGTTTCCAGGAAGTCCTCTCCGGGCACCACCAGTGCACATGACTGGTAGAGTCTGGTCTTGAAGCCGA